GGGCGCCGCCTCGCCTCGCCGGGGGCATTCGCGCTCACAGCCGCGCTTCTCTTGCAGCCTGTATCTGCGAGAAGAACAAGCGTGTCACCAACTGCATGTTGGCTGGCGGCGTGTGCCAGTGCGAGGCGATCGGCTCCGGCGTGTCCGTGAACTGCGACACCTGTGAGTAAAGCTGTGCTTGGCCCGGGGGTGCTCCTGGGACGGGCAGCGAGGGCAGCGCCGGCTGAGCTGGAGGGAGTGTGCGAACACGGCCATCGAGCAATGGTAGCAGGGGAGGAGAGCGGCTTCTCGGTCTTCCTGGTCAGCTGGCGATAGAAGATAAGCGTTTAGGATTCCTCTGGCGTAAACTGCGTGGATGTGCATACACACACTGAGGCGGGCTTGCCCTTTCTCCTTAATACTCAGTCTGTAATGGCAAAGATTTTTCAAAGAATAATTTTTAGTTTCCTTATAAGCACCTGTTATGGTTTTTTTCTACAATTCCAGAAGTGAAAGAGCCTTATCTCAAGGCATTACTGTTGGTACTTGGAAGAGCCTTGTCCTGGGACCTTACTCTTGGTTTGAGCTCAGTTAAGCTGTAAATGATCCTCTTGCTGTAAGAAGTGGGAGGTGGCTGGACGACTTATGCATTTACCTTAGGAAGCAGACATACCCCAGTCATGGTGACTTCATGCACCACCTACGTGTTAGACACCTGCTCTTCCTTCCAATGGCTTAAGATCTTGTTGCTTCTGATGTGACCACGTGTTTTTACAGACTAAGAGATTTGTTTTGAACATAACATGGTATGATGCTCCATAACATGACTTTCTGGTTATTTTTAGTGACTTCAAAATGCCTGTTGATGAAAGCAGAAATGACACACAACTCAAAATCGGGTCGTCGTGAGAAACCAAAAGACGCATTTGAAGATACCGATGGCCTTTATGATCCCGAGTGTGAGAATTCGGGTGCTTTCAAGGCGAAGCAGTGCAATGGAACCACCTGCTGGTGTGTGAATACAGCTGGTGTTAGAAGAACTGACAAACATGATGCAGACTTGAAGTGCAATCAATTAGTCAGAACAATGTAAGTCTTTCACCAGAGTGTGCTGTGACATGAAAACATTCCTGTATTAGGCTCTGCATTGTAGAGAATTTATCTGCATGAATGATGTGGTGGGGATGAATGAAGACAGAGCAGTAAGTATTTGATTAGGGTGGGTTGGTTTTGGTTTTGTGTGTGTTTTGTTTGGTTTTTTTTTGTTTTTTGTTTTTTGTTTTTTCAGAAACGAGACATGGAATGATTGTGGATGGGTCTTTGTTTTTCTGTCACTGCTGTTATTTCCCCTGGGATTAGTTTCTTAGTATGCATTATTATGTGCAAACCCTTTAAAAATATTAAATGTAGGGTTTTTTTATTACTTCAGGTGGATCATTATTGAAATGAAACATGCTGAGACAAACACTCCTCTGAAAACAGAATCTTTGGAGAAGTAAGTGATGATAGTAAGATGTCCTGATGATGTCTGCATGCACTACTAAATATCTAGTGGATTTCTAAATGATTCTTTAAAACCACTGTCAAACCTGTCAACTTATTTTTAAGACATCTTAGAAGTCACCTACAGATCCTTCATAGATCTGCTTTTATTTTTATTGGAAATAAATTAAGTCGATAGACTGAAATAAATGGAAGGCAATAAGATGAAAGTGCCCAAAAAGCAACCTGACAAAGATGGTGGAGGGACCGCATAGAAGTAACAGGAGAAAAACAACTGTTTAGCTTTTTGGATGGCTAAAATGAAATCCTGCTTCTTTCTGTCAGAGGTCATAGAGCAAGAAAAACTTGCTTGTAGCTATTAGATCATTTCCACACCACCACCCCATCCCCACCAAGCAAAAGCTGCTACTCTCAACTCCTTCAGAGCTTTTCAAAACTGTTCAGGCTCTAACACTGCAGTAACATATTTGTTGGTGTTTTTTTTTTTAATGGGAATTAACAGAGCTCTGATATAATTTGATCATGAGAGTGTACTGGGTTTCATTCGGGTGAAGTTAATTTTCTTGGTAGCAATTGGTATGATGCTGTTTTAGACTGGTGACCAAAATGGTGTTGGTAAGTCCACCAGTGTTTCAGCTGTTGCTGAACAGTTTTGAGGCCTTCTCTGACTCGCTCTGCTGCCCCAATGAGTAGGTTGGGCAAGAGGTTGGGAGTAAGACTCAGCAGAGACATTGACCCAAACTGACCAAAGGGATATCCCAGATTGTATGATGTTGTGCTCAGCAATCAACATGGGTGGAAGTTTCTCCCAAATATCTATTGCTCGGAGGTGGGCTGAGCATGAGCCTGCTAGTGGTGAGGGATTGCTTTTGTATTGCTTGTTGGTGTGTGTGGTTTTGTGGGTTTTTTTGTTTGTTTGGTGTGTTTTGTTTGGTTTTTTTTGTTTGTTTGTTTGTTGTTGTTGTTGTTTTTGTTTGGTTGGGTTTTGTTTTTGTTTGTGTTTTTTAATTTCTGCCACCCAGCCCTTTCACTTAAACTGTTTTTGTCTTGAACCGTAAGGTTGGTTGGGTTTTTTTTCTTGCCTTTGCCCTTTTGATTTCCTTCCCAGTCCTCGTAGGGAGAGGTGAGTGAGAGACTAGGTGAGGATTTAGCTGCCAGCTGGGGTGGACCCGCCACAGGGACTGGAGGAAAAAACCCAATTGTGCTAGACTGCCTTGCTTCTGAAAACAGATGTGTCAAATAGTACTGGCTTTAACAGCTATGGCTTTAATATCCTCACAGGTTCTTCAGGGAAACAATTACCAATCGTTACATGCTGAATGGACGCTATATAACTAAAGTTGTGGTAAGAGACACATAATTTTTAGTAAAGTATCAGAATTCTTCTTTGTTGTGAATAACTTTGAAAACTCTTTGACTAATGCAGTAGAGCATGATTCTTATTAGAAGCTCTCAAAATGGCAACACTTGCAGAGCAGCTAGAAAATAGTTGTCTGAATTGAAATACTGAGAAATTGCATACTGCTTTCCTTGGTCTGTAGATGAATTCATACTTGGCTTCGCTAAAAAAGTGAGATTTGAATAATTCTGTAAACAGTTGGCTTGAGAATAAGTACCATAAGCTTGATCTAGAAAGTGAGTTCACAAACTGGATCATAATATTTTGCTGTGTATTTGATCGTTGGATTTAAACTGGTCCCTTCTTAACACCATGCTATTTTTATTTTTTTTTTAGTATGAAAACCCCTACATTAATATTGATTTGAAGCAAAATTCCTCAGAGAAATCTGCTAGTGATGTGGATATAGCTGACGTGGCCTACTATTTTGAAAAAGATGTAAGTGTGTCTTGGGTGAAGTTTGTCAAAGACTAGTTGTGTCTGTTGCTTTGCTTTCAGCAATCTTAACCATGTCCTGGCTAAGGTGAGATGAATTATTGCAGCACCCAGATGAATGACTGTTACAGTGTGAAATAACAAGTCTCTTTTTTCCCCATCTGTTCTTAGTTAAAAGGTGACTCCATCTTTCAAAGAAACAAACTGAACATGAGTATTGATAACCAGGCGCTGCAAATTGAGAAGACTGTGGTCTACTATGTTGATGAAATACCACCAGAGTTTTCCATGAAGTCTCTGACTCCTGGCCTCATTGCTGTCATTGTAGTAATAATAGTAGCAGTAGTTGCTGCCATTGTTGTTCTGGTAAGTTGTAACAACCAAGCTGCCAAGAAAAATAGGTAGCAGTGTAATATGGGAAACAACAACATTCCAGGGTAGCCAAAGTCTGATAGAAACAGGCTTCTTCTCTAAAGTGCTGCCTTCTTTTAGACTTGAGAGGAGGGAAAGAGGGAAGGGGCATGCCATCCCCGTTTCAGGTTATGACTGAAGGGTGTTGTGTGGAAAACAAAAATATTAGGAAAAACTCAGTGAGGTGAAGAAAGTGCCTGTCTTGCCTCCTGGTTCAAAGTAGTTGAGAGGGACAGGTAGTGCCTGTACCTCACTTTGGAAGGATGGGGAAGGGGCAGCTTTAAGTTTGGACTCTGAGTCACAAACAGATAGTTACATGTAAGTCAAGGCTTAAAAAAACTTCACAATTATTCTGTCCTTCTCTTACAGGTCTTAACAAGGAGGAGGAAAGGGAAGTACGTGAAAGCAGAGGTAATTAGTTCTTGTTTATGATGTATGTGCTTGGAGGAGGTTGTACAGAATCAGAAATTCTTCAGCTTGCTGTAGGGTAGAAGCCTCCTTTGATGCTTCAGAGATGTTCAAGGAGACTGAAAGTATTCAAATTCTGCAACTAGCTTTGGTCTCTGTATGGTTCACCATGTTCATTCTGCACTAGTTTGAAAAGCAGGTGATGATCTGTTGTATTTCCCAGGGGTGGGAGGTGGTGCTGACAGACAAGTACTATTTTTACATATCTATAGCAAGGGCTATGCAATCCACAGGAAACACTGATAGCCTTGTTCTGCCCTGAAGACCTTTACTTCAGATATTTGCATGGAGCTTGCAGGCTCTATTGAAGAGCTGCTTTACAATAGAGTAGTAACAAATGCTACTAGTGCACGGAGCTTCACCCCAAGTGGTGGAGACTTCTGTAAAGGAATCCAAAGGATGTTGTAGGTAAATAGTAAAGTCTGCTCCCTACACACACCCCGAAAACTGCTGTATTTAAGAATAGTAACAAAAAAAAAAAAAAAAATCACCACCAAAAAAAAAAAACACTGAAGTGTTATGGTGTTTTTGACAATTTTGATTCTGTATGTTAAATCACTTTGCTAATGAATATCCAGGATGTTAAGTCCTGTTGACTTCTTGCATCTTACCTGAGAAGTAGCACAAGTGTTGATCTCCCTCTGCCTCCTCCCCTTCAGGTGAAGGAAATGAATGAAATGCATAGAGGACTGAATGCATAACTAAATCAGCTGAAAGATCCAAACAAGAAGACTACAGAAACATCGGAGGCATGGATCTTAACTCTTAAAGATTCCTCCTGAAAGAAAGGCAATTGTGCCTACTTAATGATTGTTAAAACTCTTAACAGCCAAGACTGGTAAACCATGCTACTACTTAACTGTTTGTTGAGAGTTAGATCTTGAAATGCCCCATCATGCTCAAGTCAAACTTAACTTTTGCTCTCTGATTTTAATTTTTTTTTTTTTTTATGATGATGATGACGAAAAGAGTTGACAACTGCTGTTACTAGGTTTATGGAGAATACATGCTTAAATGGTATTTTGCCCTTGAGAGGTTTATTGAAAATGATTTTTGTAGACATAATGAGGCTGTCTCCTATATAAATGAATGTGCAGTTTTTATGGCTGTTTGTACATATTTGAAGTTGCTGTAACTTTTTTATTACTTGAATTAATAAAACTTTGAAATGGGCTTCTACTTCTTTCATGTTGACATGGTGAACTTACAATACTCCCTTAAAGCCAGCAAAACCTCAGCAGAGGTGAAAATAGTTTAGTATTCCAATTAGCAAAGTTTGTATTGGCCATTAATATCTTAATAGCATGATACTTGCTTTCATTTAAAGCTATGAAAAGTACTTTATTCTGTTTTCCACTTGTGCAACAAACGTAAAATAAGTTATGGATTGTTTGTATAAAAAATAAACATGCTGTGAATGCAGCAATTTCAGGAATGCACAGACTGCTCTTTGGAATGCTATGTGACTATAATAAAACCAGCCTCCGACCTGGAACATCTCTGGTGTAGGGTTGGAAGTGGGTAGACTTGGTGTCTGATGGTGGAGCTGGGGAAGAGCTATTGCAGCATCCCCATGATTTGCATAGTTGTTGCACAGCTAGGATCTGTTTCTGCTGTTATTACTATTTACTGTCACAGAGGCTGACCCAGCTTAGAGACTATCAGTCTCCCAGGGCTTTGGATAAAAGCTTGCTTTGGCAGTCAGTAATCTATGTAACGTATATTGGCTAGCAAGTAAACACATACAGTCCATCCAGCATATCAGATTTATAAAGGAAATACTGTAACTCCTGTTGCCAAAGAAATAATGAGATATAAGATAATGAACTGAATGACAAATCTTATTGCTAATGCAGTGTTTGTTTTGACCCCTCCACCTAAAACAAGAGAAGTAGGTTAAAGTACTGAGGATATTCTGCATGGCATGTTCATAAAATTAAATGTGAAACATGCTCCATTAGAGAGCGTGTGTGCATCTGGTTAATAACAGCAGGGACCTTACTGGACTGCACTGAATGTAACTCCAGTGTCAGAGGTCACCAGCATGCCTCATGCCTTTGAACAAGGGGGTAGCTAACATACAAGTTACTGTGTTGCATGTTGAAATGTAGGCAGTGACTGTTTCCTTCAGTCTTCCAAGCATCTGGTGCTGTGAACTTCTGTGTGCTGAGCTGCTGCAGCAGCCCTCAGGTTTTACAGTATTTCTCTTGAGCCTACAGTGTTTTGGGAAGTGGAAATGTGAATAGATTTGCTCTGTCAAGTTGCTCCTGCCCAGCACAAAATTTCTGACGGAGTTTCCAGAGAGCTTTGCAGCTTTTTCAGGCAAATTTTCCAGTAACAGCTTGTGGGATTGTCTCTCCCCCTGTCAACATCTGCCACTCCTTTTCTCCCCAGGTATGCAGGCGGTCTGCTGAGGTATGATGAATTTTATACAGTTCTGTAAGCTGTTAAACACATAAAGCCTAGTTTTCCAGTAAGGTTGCCTTCTGCTGAGTCATGTGGAGTGCTGTATTCCTCAATTCTTCACTGTCCATATAATTTATTTTCTTAAATGTCTGCAGTATGGTATTCTTGCCATTTATTTCTTCTCCCCAAGATACTAATGCTATTGTTTCCTCTCCTCCCCTTCCTATCTTCATTTCATACCTTATTTTTGGCCTGTGGAATGGAAAGGGATGTGCTGGGCTGGAGCTGCACATGTGCTGACTTGACTGGCTCAGATGTACCTGTTGTGTGGCCTGGACCTCGTCCCAGCCGGTTTGTTTGAAAATCGTTTTCTCCCTGCTTTTCCCACAGTAGAGGAAGGCATTGAGATATTTTTCTTTTTTTTTTTTTACCTAATGGAGCTTTTCATGTGAGGTGCTTGCACAAGCTTAGTGTCTCTAATACAGTCTTCTTGTCAGATTTGTCTGCAAGGAGTTAGAAAACCACAAAGTCTACAGAAATGAATTGAAAAATGGATGACTTTACCTAAATCTCCAAGTGAAGGGATTATACTACATCTGTTTCTAAACGTGCTTATTATGATACAAACATGCTGCTGCTCAGCTCTCAAAATGGTGGTCAAGAATAGGTTTAATAGGTTTTTCCCTAGTTTCCTTTTCTAAATAGTTTCACTGACCTTTACAGTAGGTTTTGGTTTGTTCTGTTTACTCAACACTGCACTTGTGCAACAATCCAGCTGCATAGAAGTGTATTTATGGGGTGAATGGAAAAGGATGACGGAGATGGGAGCTGAGAAACTAGAGTATCAGCATCTTGCACCTTTATTGTGTTTCAGATTATATAGCTAGAGGAGACTAATGTGCCAAAATGTGTTTTAAAAGCCTCTATCAGATAGCATCAGCTCTCCACATGTGTGATGTTTCTTCTCATATATGGAGCTATTTTGAACTGCTGGCAAAAATTATTTCTGTTGGAAAATAATATGGTATTAAATGGCAAGATACTGTGTTCTCTATTTTAATACTTGGAGAGTATTCAGCAAAGTTAAAATGCAAGTTTCCTGTAAAAGAAACAAACCAATAGAACTGTATAAAAGATTATTTGTTACTGCATTAATTTTTGACAAGGTAAATATTTTAATGTTTCCATTTGCCTAATTCATTAGCTTCCTTCTGTGAAGGTGCATATTTTTTAAATCTGAAGTTCTATTCAAAGTTGTTATACCATGTTCCTTTCCTTTTAATGTAATGTCAATTGTGATAAAGGATATGAAGGACACACTAAAGATTTATTAATTTGAGACTGAATCAATGAGATCTTTTTTAAAGAGAGACGATGGCCATGAACTGTACAAAAGACCCTAGTAAATACTTTTGTGCCTATGTAAACAAGAAAACAAGGCAAGTGCAAATCTACTTATGAATTATTAAACTAGTATTTATATTAGTTATTATTACTGCTGAGCAAAATTAAATAAACATTTATGCAAAGACAATGAGAGACTTTCTAGAAGAGGATATACAAATAACATATTTGAGGAAGCATGACGAATAAAGTCTATAAAACTTTCTTCCAAAGACCTGAGGAATCCCTGAGCGTAGTTTCCACAACTGCACAATGAAAGGTCGGAGTGCTGTGTACGCAGGGCCTGTTGACACTGGCACACTCATGCTCCTGAACAATCACAGTTTGGTAAGAGAAATAACATTGTTTGCAAACGATGCTTATTTACATCTTCACCTGCTGGACTTTGATGACCATAATACACAGTGATTTTTGGATTAAAGACTGCTTGAAATAGCCTGAAAAATATTCTAGGAGACTAAAAATACAGCGCCGCTGCCCCAGTTTTAGAACAGCTAGTCACTGAACAGCAGCAACACCCAGACGAGCCTACAGTCTCATATTAATTACAAAGGTCCATTGCTGGGCATGTATCAGGCACGCTGTCGGGTGGCCAGGCCCATCCCTGCAAGGTCTATGAACTTTGCTAACATCTTTGCCCTCCTTGTCTCAGCGGTGCCGTGCCAGGGCAGCCGTATGCAAGGGAGAGGGTGGTAGGTCAAAAGGAGGTAGTGTGTAGGGTTAGAGGTGATGCTTACCACGTGGCTGTAAAACCTTGATACATGCAAGAAGTGAAAAAAACTTCTAACCCCTAACTGCACTGGAGAATTCTTGTGTGTTCAGCTGCCTGCAGAGCAGACCACTGTTTTTGCCAAACTGATCCGCATAAAAGGTCCTGTAGAAGGCAATAGACACATTTTCTGGTTCCAGACTTATATTAACTAAATATTTCTGTCTTGTTAATATTATCTTAAGTCTCTGATGCATTATACATACATACCCACCAGTCTAACACAAAATTTTCTGGTACCATCCCTGCCAACTCAAATGCATTAGAGCTGTCACTGATCACACCTGACTACTAATTAACTTTTGGTGGAAAAGGGTTTATTTCTTTTTTATCTGTGGAGTGGTTAAAGGGCATCCATTTTGCTAACTGAAAAGCCACTGCAACTTCTCTGTGTGACTGATTCAGTGATCCTTTGTGCAAGAGATGTCACAACATAAACGTTTTCCATGGACTGTGGTCACCACTCTAAGAGCGTTAGCAGCCAGTTTAGGTGGTGGCCTAGAAATGGGAGCCTGCAGCTCAGCAGAGATGCCCTGAGCAAACTGCTGAACGAAGAAGTGTCACCAGCCCAGAAGGGACAGAAGGAAGCACTGCAACAGGCAGCAATTACAGCTTAACAGACATTATTTTCAAAGGTGGTAATGAGGTCCCTGGAGCCCACCTCCTCTCCAGCTGTCTGCTCCAGGACACTTTTTTGGTTCTTGTCCTATCTTGGGCTCATCTGTAGTCATCAGTATGTACAAAGTCAAACAATCCCAGCTATTCACAATGTGTATTTTGGGCTAACCTGGTATTATCACCTCTTAGCAAGGTTGCCTGATGTCATGAGTGTTTACTAAATGATAATTATTTAGGCTGAGTTTACTGCCACAAGCAAGTGCTTTTGGTGGAGGGAAGAATCAGACCAGGTAGCTGAGCCATTTCTAAAAATAAAGTTATGAAAGGTATACTTAACTCTAGCTGGAAAAAAATCCAACTGCCCTCCTAGGGAAATGTCATTTTTACAGCTGTTACGGAAGTAAAAGAAAGATTTTGGGCAACTAAAAAGCCGTCAAAACTCTAGTGACTTCATGTTTTGATTCTTCCTTCCTAAGTCAAGCAAAGGCAGATTGGACTTTCTCT